CTTCTTGCCGCTGGGCTAGTGGCAGCCCAGGTGAGGCCAACTGCTGATCCCGAATCAGCCACATGTGTTTCTGTGTTTATTCACTCAATCACCCATGAAATATATTTGAGCATATGCCACCTCCCGCCACACCTCAAGCCACTCAGAGAGGCCCACATGTGGAGGGACAGAGTTCCCTAGCCAACAGCCAGCTCCAACTTGCCAGACGCTGGAGAGGCTAACTGAGAAAGTGTATTCCAGCTCCGTTGAGCTCTAAGGTGTCCACAGCCCAGCTCACATCTGACCACAGCTCCACAGCGACTGCAGGCTGGAGCCACCACACCCAGCTACAGACAATACACAGTTTTGGTCTTCTTTCTCCTTCTCCTTCATCTTGTGAGATTATTGTCTTCTTTATTTTTTTGTAAAGTTTATTATTCACCTTTCTTTTTTTTTTTTGAGTTGGAGTCTCACTCTGTCGCCCAGACTGGAGTGCAGTGGCCGCTTCTGGCCACCACAGCCTCATCCTGCTGTGCTCCGGTGATCCTTCCACCTCAGCCTTCCAAGTAGCCGGAATTACAGGCATGCGCTACCACGCCCAGCTGATTTTTTGATTTATTGTAGAGACGAGGTCTTGTCAAGTTGCCTGGGCTTGTCTCGAACCTGTAGGCTCAGGCAATCCACTCGCCTCAGCCTCACAAAATGCTGGGATTACAGGCTGAGTCACCAAGGCCTGCCGATTATTGTCTTCTTAAGCCACTGTGATTTGGAGCTGTTTGTTACACAGCTATAGATAACTAATACATATGAGAGGATCCCCCAAAATGGAATTTATTTATCAAAAATTGGGTATTCTTGCATCTTTTTCTTTTTTTTTTGAGTCGGAGTTTCACTCGGTCGCCCAGACTGGAGTGCAGTGGCCGCTCCCGGCCACCGCAGCCTCTACCTGCTGGGCTCCGGCGATCCTTCCATCTCAGCCTTCCAAGTAGCTGGAACTACAGGCGCACGCTACCACACCCGGCTCATTTTTGATTTATTGTAGAGATGAGGTCTCGCCAAGTTGCCCAGGTGGGTCTCGAACCCGGCAATCCACTCACCTCAGCCTCCCAAAGGCACGGGATTACAGGCTGAGCCACCGAGCCTGGCTTTATTCTTGCATCTTTAAACTTCGGTCATCTTCAGAGTCCTCTCGGTTTGATGCAATACACCTATCAAGATGCTTTTTCTACAGCTCAAAACAGTTTTTGAACTGTCAATGTTGATGCCTTTTAGTGTTTCTGCCATTTTTTGTTTCACCTCTCCCCACTGGCAAAATGTTTCCCTTTGAGACATTTTTTCCTCTGGGGAAACAAAACACAGTCGCTTGGGCGAGATCAATTAAATAGGGGGAATGGGGCACAAGGGTGATGTCGTTTTGGGTCCAAAACTGCCGAACGCTCAGCATAGTGTGGGTAGGTGCGTTGTCATGGTGGAAGAACCATTCACCTGTTTGCCACAACTCGGGATGTTTCTTCCACAGTGCAGCCTCTCACAACAATGTTAGCTGGTCCACGGACACCAATGAGTTCCTAGAATACCTACCTAGCGGGGGAAGGCTGTCCTACAAGGGACCTGCCCTCCAAAAGACAATTCTGGCTTTTGAGTCCCCCTCACATAATACGAATGCTAACGTAACATCTGAATTCGCTTTCCACTCAAGGAACTAGAAAGTATAACCTAGGCCAGGTGCAGTTGTCATTCCAGCACTTTGGGAGGCAGAGGCAAGAGGATTGCCTAAGCCCAGGGGTTCGAGACCAGCCTGAGCAACTTGGCGAGACTTTGTCTCTACAAGAAATCAAAAAATCAGATGGGCATGGTAGCACGTGCCTGTGGTTCCATTTACTTGGAAGGCCGAGGCAGATGGATTGCCTGAGCCAAGCAGGTCAAGGCTGGGGTGGCCATGAGCATGCCACTGCACTCCAGCCCGGGTGACAATGAAACTCTGACTCAAAAAAAAAAAAACAAAGAAGCCGGGCTCGGTGGCTCAGCCTGTAATCCCGCGCCTTTGGGAGGCTGAGGTGAGTGGACTGCCTGAGCCCGCGGGTTCGAGACCCGCCTGAGCAGCGAGACCTCATTTCTACAACAAATCAAAAAATCAGCCGGGCGTGGTAGCGCATGCCTGTAATTCCGGCTACTCGGAAGGCTGAGGCGGAAGGATCGCTGGAGCCCAGCAGGTCGAGGCTGCGGTGGCCGGGAGCGGCCACTGCACTCCAGTCTGGGTGACAGAGTGAGACTCCAACTCAAAAAAAAGAAATAAATAAAAGAAAATGTAACCTGATTTGTTCTCAGAATGTTCTTAGGCACTGTGGGAGAGTAACTCAGTTAGTTACATTTGGAAGTGATATCCACATTGTGACCACGTGGTGAGCGGCAGGTCCTGTGGCCTCACCCACAGTGTGCTCATCTGCATTCTTGGTCTGCGTTTTTGTTGATGCTCAGAAGGGCAACCTTTCTCATTCCTGACAAGGCCCTTCTACTTTCCAGGTGATGTGCCCACCTCCCCAGCTTACCTGGTCAGAACAAGGGCCTCTGCTCTGCTTTTTTTTTTTTTTTCTTTTTTTAGTTAGGGTCTCATGCTGTTGCCCAGGCTGGAGTGCAGCGGCCTTGACCTGCTTAGCTCAGGCAATCCTTCTGCCTCAGCCTCCCAAGTAACTGGGACTACAGGTGTGCGCCACCACATCTGGCTAATTAACAAATTTTTTTTTTTTGTAGTGATGAGGTCTCACTGAGTTGCCCAGGCTTGTCTCGAACTTCTGGCCTCAAGTTATCCTCCCACCTTGGCCTCCCAAAGTGCTGGGATGACAGGCATGAGCCACTACATCCGATCCCGGCTTATGTTTATGTTTTCCCACCAGGTAGCAAGTTACTGAGACCAAAGCTGTGTCCCTGAGCCACCCTCCACGCCTCCTTCCTCCCACCCTCTCCAGGTGACACCCTTGGGCACATGTCACATACATGCTTGCTGAGTGGCAGAAAGGCGTTGGTGACAAGGGGCCTTTGGACCAAGGCCTTCTTTCATCTGACAGCTCTGCTTTGGAGGCAGGCAAACCATTTGCATGCTACCTCAAGGTGCAAATGACAGCTCACTGTGCCTTTTTTTTTTTTTTTTTTTTTTTAGTTGGAGTCTCTGTCGCTCAGGCTGGAGTGCAGTGGCATGCTCATGGCCACTGCAGCCTCAGCCTGCTGGGTTCAGGAGATCCTTCCACCTCAGCTTTCCAAGTAGCTGAAACCACGGGCGAACACCACCACACCTGACTGATTATTTTGATTTATTATAAAGACAAGTTCTCTCCATGTTGCTCTCAGGCGGGTCTTGAACCCCTGAGCTCAGGCAATCCTCTGGCCTCCGCCTCCCAAAGTGCTGGGATTACAGGTTTGAGCCACCACACCCGGCCTCGCCATGCCTTTTAAGTAAGGGGGTATTTTCACAGACTCGTGAGCCTGAAAGACCCCCCCCAAGAGCTCTCGTGGAATTCTCGGGAACAGGGTCCCCGATGCAGAGACGATGAACACTGCCGTGAGGGATTAGAAATGTTGGACCTGGCCAGACACGGTGGCTCACGCCTGTCATCCTAGCACTTTGGGAGCTGAGGCGGGAGGATTGCTTGAGCCCAGGAGTTTGAGAGCAGCCTGCCAACACACGAGACCTCATCTTTGCAAAAAATCAAAAAATTAGTCAGGCATGGTGGTGTGTGCCTATAGTCCCAGCTACTTCTGGAGGCTGAGGTGGAAGGATTGCCTGAGCCCAGGATGGCAGGGCTGCTGTGAGCTGTTATTGTGCCACTGCCCTCCAAACTGGGCAACAGAGGGAGACCTTGACTCAAAAAAAAAAAAGAAAGAAAAACAATGTGTGTCATGAGCAGGTATGGGGGTTGCTGGCACGCCTGTGGCTATGCATCATCCCTAAATGCTAGGTTGCCTGGGTCAAGCGGGCTTTCTACAGATCCTTAAGCTTTCCAGAGAAGAAGATAGTGCCACGTTCCAAAAAGTATACAGGTGTTATCTATTGATTTTAGAAAAATGATAATTTCCCCCCCAATCAACAGGTCTTTTAATGCCTTATTAAACTGTGATAAATGCAAACGTGGAACGCATCACAAATTCGTCCATCGCCCTTGCGCAGGGCTGTGTCATTCCCACTTTATTTTATTTTATTTTTTGAGTCGGAGTCTCACTGTTGCCCACGCCGGAATGCAGGGGCACACTCACGGCCACCGCAGCCTCAACCTGCTGGGTTCAGGAGGTCCTTCCTCCTCAGCCTTCCAAGTAGCTGGAACCAAAGGGGTGCACCGCCATGCTCTGCTAGTATTTTTTATTTATTATAGAGACAAAATCTCGCCAAGTTGCCCAAGCTGGTCTCGAACTCCAGACCTCAGGCAATCCTCTCACCTGGGCCTCCCAAAGTGGGATGACAGGTGTGAGCCACCACACCCGGCCTGTTCCTACGAACCAGTATGTTTAGGGAAGGAAAGGGGAAAACACCAACCCCCCAACCCCACCCCAGCCCCATGGCCAGGCGCTGCCGCTCCCTCCTGCATGTACAAGTGGTGACAGTCAGTGTGTTGCTCAGGAAGCACCATGCTTGCCCTGGCCCCAACCGCCACCCTCTTGGGACCAGTTTTGGCCCACATGGTGTGAGTCCACGTGACACAAGAGGGGCTTTAAGCACACATGTGCCCTGGGCATCTCTGTCAGGGACCACAGGAACCTAGAAGCATATCAGACACTGGACCCAACCCAACCCCCACATCCTTACAAAAGCCCCACCATCGGGAGCCCAGGTGCCTTTCTGGCCAGTGCGTGGAACCAAGCAGGATCAGTCAGTGCTTGTGATGAACCACTGTGGTGGGGCTGCCTGTTACACGGCACCCTGGGGCAAGAGCCGACCAGTACAGTCAGGGACTCCTTCCTCTCTTTCTCCTTTCTCTTCCCCTCCTCCCTCTCTCTGTCTGTCTCCTTCTCTGTCTTTCCCTCCCTCCATCTCTCTCTCCCTCTGTCTCTTTCTCTCTCCTTTTCTGTCTCTCTCTCTGCCTCTCCCTCCCCCTCTCTTTCCCTCTCTCTCTGTCTCATCCTCCCCCCTTCCCCTTTCCCCCTCCCCCTTTT